AACATAATAATAATAATTTAAAAATTCAAATTTAGTCCTTCAAAGTTTTATTTTTTACACAATTTTTTAAACAAATTTCTTTTAAAATATAAGCATAAATATTTTCATATTTTATAACTTTAATAAAAAATTTATTTATCTAATAATAATATATACAGATATTTGAATATATTTTTTTACATTATTCTATATTGTATAAAACTTCTTTGTCGTGGGATTTATTATTCTTTTCATCATTCAAAACTTATTAAAAGAGTATAAAAAGATTTCAAAAAAGTAATACGTTAACGTCATTCTCCTGTTATAATTGAATTTTTTTTAATATATATTTGTATACAAAATCCATTATACAAAATTTAAAATTATTCAAATTTTAAGTTTTGTATAATGGATTCTTTCAAATAATATCTTAAAATAAAAAATTCTAAGTTAATTCTTTTTTAATTCAATAAATAATCACATATGTAAACCGTACAGTACATTAAATACAGCTACATTTGCATTAATTTATAACGTTTTCCGCCATTTAAATTGGCAGTAAATCGAGACTGGCGCTAAACCGAAGTATCTCAATCAATAAAAATTATATATAGTGAGAATAAATTGAAGTTTGAAAATTACGTGATTGGATGCTAACAATGTTATTTATAGTACAAATTCGTAATTTACTAATGTACTTTCGTACGACTGTAAAAATGTTAAAATTTAGTTCAATATCGAGACTCTTCTCGGTATAGTGAACTCTTACTCATTCACTACATCGAAAGTTCGTTATGTACAGTACATTAAGAATAGCAAGGATCAACAGAATTGTTCGCTATATTAAAGATGGTCACTGTATCTGATTAATGCTGTTGCTGATTATTTCCTAGAAACAAAAAAGGAATAAATTTCAACAATTACTTTTAATAATTAAATTAGTTTCAATTTTCTACAAAGTTTTAAAAGCAATATGAAGTTGTTCTTTAAGTTCTGTTGTTTAAATTTAATTCAATTAAGTAAAATTGGATTGCGATTCAATGAAGTCGATTGAACACATTCAGTAAAATATTTACAAAGTCGAAACTATTTCTTCAGACTTAAGTAATGCTTTTTAAATTAAATTATATTAGAAAATTAATTAATCCTCTTGACGATTAAATGATAATAAAATGTATTAAATCATTTCTTATTAGAGAAATGATTATTATGTTTACCTAATTATGATTAGCAAGATGTATAATGATGCCATTTACGAATGTCAATTTATGATTTTGTTTAAAATTTATTTTTATTACAGTAAATTGTACTTATTATTTTGTATCTCGTTGGTAAAAGTTCCTTTTGAGAGTCATACTTAAGACACAGAAACATGAGGCGCCAGCCTGAGGCCTGAAGATATAGGGGTCCCCAATAAAGTTAATGATAAAACTAGTCATGCAAAGATACATCAATACATAGAGCCCGAGTGCAACAAGAAATTAGACTCTAGAGATTTCAAATAAAAATATTTTTTTTTTAGATTCTGATATCTATAAAGGGGCCACAAGTAGAGTTCTTCGTGTCTCGAATCACGAGGAGTGTAAGTTTATTTGTATATAGAAACATGACATGTAGACAATCGGTCCAGGGGTGCCTCCCTGGAGGACTTTCCGTAATAAACTGGCCCTACAAACATGAAGAAAACCCGGAAAAATCCATGTGGTCAGTCCGTTTTCGAGGCTCAAACCC